TTGCCTGGTATAATTTGTAATAGTTAAAATTTTTCTATAAAAAATTTTTTAAATTCAGAAATAATTTCATAAAAACCCTCCAATAGTAATAATCATTTATTTTCATATTAACTAAACCATACTGATAAACTAATATGTAGTAGACATGAATTTTGTTTTTTCAAAAATTAGTTGTTACAAAAATGTTAATNAATTTTGTTTTTTCAAAAATTAGTTGTTACAAAAATGTTAATAATGTTTATGAGTATAAACTAGAGTTAATTTATTTTTAAAAATGAATGAAATAATAGTTAATACTTTGGTAACCCAACATATTTTCTTTAATAATTAAAAATGTATGATAAAAAAATTGATAATTAATAAAAATATTATTGTGTAATACAATATTTATTTTAACTGTAGGAGAAAAACCATATAAATGTGAAACTTGTGGTAAAGCATTTAGAGTACGCTCAGATATGCGGCGGCATACAGTAGTTCATAGAAAAGATAATACCAACACTGTTCAAATTAGTAGTTATGCTGGTCAAGTCAGTGGTATAGTTACATCTTCAGATATGAATATTCATATAACAAAATTAGATTTGGATAAAGAAAAGATGTCTACTAACACTGACGGAGAAGTTAAATTTCATGAAAATTTTTCTCATGAAACTGATCAACTGATAACTGCAGATGGTGTCCCTGCTCCATTAAATCTTAACTTACGAACACAAGACCATGGTGATAACGATGACTCAAACAGTTTTCAGCAATTTAATGGAAGACAAGAAATAATTGATAGAGATACAAATACTTTGTATGTATGGATACCATCTAACAGTGAACAATTATTACCAAATGAATAAAAAAAGTTTTTTCATGGGGTTTATTGATGCCCTAATCAATATAATAAAATGGCTTAATTATAATTTATTCTTTAGACACTCAGTATCTCTGTGACATGAAATATAAAGAGTAAGTGTTTAAATAGCATGTGTAAAAATGTTGATACTAAACAATAGAATAAACTTATAATCAAATTAAGACCTTTCACTATCGATAATAAAATAATATAAATATGTGGTAACTATTTGATTTGCAGAATTATAAACCAAAATGTAATTATGTTATAATTTATTTTTTTTACAATTATCATTGTATTATGTAGAATAACTTTAAATATTTGTTGACAAGTATAAATAAAATAGTTCTCCATTATTCAAAATATTAAATTTTATTTTAAATTGATTTAAAAAAGTTTAAGTTTAAGTAGTAATAATGTGAATTATTATAATTATATTGGAATAACATAAAATAACTATTTTACTTTAATAAATTGTCTGATTAAATTGATGCAATACTATAAAGATAGGAATGACAGTGTTGTGAGAAAACCAAAAATGGTTAAGAATAAAAAGATTTTTAAATGTAGACCTTTGAATTAGAATGAATTGAATGGAAAAAAGAGTATAAAGTACTTATAATAGAGTTATAATAGACATAAATTTGTTAAAATGTTAACATTTTTTAAATTTATATTCCATCTATTTTTTCAATCAAAATTCTACTATGAGTAAATTTTTTACATTAATAATCATTATTTTTACAAATAACCGTCCCATTGTATAAATTACAAAATAAACAACTGAATTTTTCAAAAAACATAATTGTTCTATTTTAAGATCACAAACAGTTTAATTTTGTTTTAATAAAAACTAGGTGTTATTTATTTTTTATTCATTAGATTTGTTCCACTATTACAGAACAAAACATTTTACTTAGATAATANCTATTACAGAACAAAACATTTTACTTAGATAATAAAAAATTTAATAAAACTCGTGAATATCTATTAACTATAGGTAAGTTATAAAGATAATGAATTATAATTTCTAAAAAGGCACTATATAGAAAGGGCATTTTATTTTGCCATTAGTCATTGATTTTCTACATGCGACACTGACTAGATTGTAAACTAGAACATTTTAAACTAGTGTGATTCATTATCCAAAATACGTGTGTTGTTATTAAGTTGTTCCAAAGCAATAGACACTTGAGAAACAACAGTTTTACATCCTTCGTCTGGACAACGATCTGTAAATATATAAAATTAAATTTTAAAATATATTTATACGAATATCGTTGAATTACATATTAGAGTTATATTTCTTAAAATATATGAGAAATTAGGTAAAGAATATTATTTAAAANTACATATTAGAGTTATATTTCTTAAAATATATGAGAAATTAGGTAAAGAATATTATTTTAAAAAAATATTGTGTTTTTATAATATATACATTATAATTTACATAAAACATTTCTGAAATAATATATAAAGATTACATAAGTAAATATACAAGTCATAAGTAATGTCTTTCATTATATATTAGGTTAACAGTCTTGAAGTTAATTATTTATAAAATATACATAATCTTTTTGTAAAAAGTACTAACAATATTAAATACTTCAATTTTAACTTATAGAATAATACATTTAACTATAGCAACGAAATGAATATCTATATTAAGTAATTATATCAAAATTTAGCAAGGATTTGAAGAAAAGAAACTTTAATGCACGTGTAAATTTAAATATATTTAGTGCAGTTGCATGCCAGATGATGTAGAAAAGTTACCATGAGGATGTAGTCGTTTTGAAAGAGTTCTGAAAACAGGAATTGTTTTGTTTGATGTTACACATTTGAATGTCAAAATCGATTTATAAGCTTTTCTATATTGTTTATTCATTATAACATAAATTATTGGGTTGAGACATGCTGATGCATATAAAGTAATATATGCTACTAAATGAAATCCTGTAAAATAAAAAAAGGATAATCGATTTAAAAAGTATAAATAAAAAAAACTGTAGCACAGTATGAACGTAGGATAGTTGGGACAAGTATAAATGATATGACAATGATTACAGTCAATATTATAAGAAACGCGTTGATGCAAATCTGTAGATAGTATTGAATTTTAAGAAATTTGTGCATAATTACATAAGCAACACCAACTCCAATTTCCTTAATTATATCCTGATTAGTAGTTTTTAGATTTAAAAGTATAATTTATTAATAAATATTTATTATAACAATTAAATATAGTATGAAATTAATATTTAATAATTTAATATTGTTATTTTTACGGAGAAATAATGAAAAATGATAAAGTAGTTTATTTTGTTACTTCAATGAAAAACGTGTAAAAAAAATAAGACTAGATGCAATACTTTATAAACATTTTTTTTGTTACTTATGAATACTCTCTAAATCAACTTTTCGTACAGTTTTCAAATATGAAATTAGACTTTTTTTGTCAAAACCTTTCTCAAAGAAGCTGTTAATTGTACCAATAATTTATTTTAGAATAAAGATGGAACATATAAAAAAAGTTATAAAATGTATTGCTATCTAAAATAAATTCTATAATTTTAAAAAAGTATTTTTCTCGTTTTACTAATTTTTTTAAATAAAATTTGGTAACTATTTTTTACTTAAAATAATGGTTTAGCATGGCCAACAAAATATCGTACTGGGAGATCAACAGCTAAAGGACATAAAATGTTGCAGCCCTACACTTAAAAAAAAAAATCAATTTGACAAATCGAATTAAACTACTAGCCCCCCTTAACATGCAATTGTATACAAATATATTACCTGGGTAATTAACCAACGGATCTGTTGTTTTTATTATTGTAATTGGTAGGTATGATATAACAAAAGATAGAAAAATGGCTAGCACCATTTTGGTGATTCTCCATTCATTACGCTTTCTCTTCATTGACTGCTTAGATTTTATCGTTGCATCATTTCTTGTAGATATTTGATGTTTCTGCATACGATTTTCCGATCTAAAATTAATGAGAAACCATGAAAAATTTAATTTGTAATTTATTAAACACAAAATCGTTTATTATTGTTGATGACATAGTTGTTCTCTGCTACATAGGACAAGAGCAAACTAGTATTAAGTTATGATATGCCAGATTAATGTAATTTTTAACTTTGTTGTCATAGGCATCGGGTAGGGTAATACTTTTTTATTGTTATTTTCATTATTATAGTATTAATTATTTATAAATAGGTATTTTGGACAGTTTTGTGCGCTATATATAGCAATATTTTATTTTTATTTCTTATTATAGGCCATTTCAACATATGGAATAGTTAGTATATTCTTTTTTAAGCAACAAAATATAAAACGCATACAATTTTTATTTTCATTTTCTTAAATGAATCATGATATAATAATTATCTCATTATTTAACTGTTTCATTATTATATTATTACACAGATAAGGAAAATTTTGTTAAATATATATTATTTATATGGTTTCTCTGTCTATCGCCTAAGATCAAAGGGTAGTTGGCTTAGCCATTTATATTATTATAAAATAATTTTTAAACACACAATTAATAATAAATTACATATTCGAATTTCATTATGAATTAACGATAAAGATAACAAATGTTCTTATTATAAGTATCAATAACGCTGACAGTACCATTATAAAATAAATATCCTTTCATTTACTTAGTAAATAATTTTGGGCACTATAAAAAGGGTAGAATATACAGATCTAAATTATGTTTGTCCCAGAGATTAAAAACGTCTTTAGCTTAATAATGGCTCAATAAAAAAACTGTAGCAAAAAAATAATAAGAAATAACTATAAAAGCCTCATAAAATGTTAGATTTTATTTAATATTCCTTTCATTATAGATAATTTTATTTTTCACATTTTTTTTTAATTTTAATGTGTCTTTCGCATTTTAATTCCAAATTTTCTACTATTATTCTTTGACATGAAGTCTGAATTTCAAATTTCAGTAATAAATTTAAGATGTATCGTGAAATTTTATTAAATGATATTGAATATGTATTTATAAACAATTACTCTAAGAAATTCACTTTTATTGAGTGAGGTAATTGTTTTTTTATTAATACATTTAGATTATTTTTTAAGAGTTTAAAAAAAATATATTAATTTAGAAACTTTTAATTTGTTAATATTTTTATTTTACAAAAGTTAATATGCAATAGAGACGTTTTTAGAATTTTTTCTCGTGGGCGATGTATAAAAGATTTTTTTTTACTACCGTTCTAAATATATGTTTAACATTAAATTTATTTTCATAAGAAGGGGTGTATATACCCATACTCTCATAAGAATGGTCAAAATATGCAATTTTTTTAGAGATATATGTAAGTGAATGACGTATACCCTTCATTCATTTGATGCAGCGTAAGATCTACAATAATAATTAATACTTAATATTACGTTATATTAAGATATAAATACAGTTTACCAATTGAATTAATACACAATTTGTTTGTTTATACGGGGCATAAATTTTTATGAAATATAAAGTCGTTTTTATGAAATTGTAGTCAACTATAAGATTAAACAAAGACAAACTTTATTTGATTAAAATTATATTGCCATGCTTAATAAGTTTAACCGTTGCATTTTTAAACAGTTTTAAGTCAGTTTTTGAATTTTTACTTCGTGTTACATTATTCTTAGGTTATGTATAAATATTAACCCCGACTAACAACTGCTCTACAATTGTTCGAATTTTATTCAAAAACAACCCGCATTACGCATGTGGGTATAATATTAATTCTAATCATGTCTTTGAATCAAAACGAATACTGTTTGAATAGTTTCACCCTTCTTAGTAATAATATTAATAGTAGGGAAGTGCAGTAATTTTCTATAATCCAATAAATACTTAGTCAAAGTAAAAGTAATATGTTTATATTAAGTTGTCTACGATTTTTTATTTTTAAATTAAGAAAATTGTTAAATATTATCACTCAGTTAATTAAATATTTTATCACTGTATGAAAATTATATATTTTATGGAAAATTGTGACTACTAATAAAGTAGAATTGAAAATCCCTAAAATGTTTAAAAACGTTTTCTGGTTTAATAAAGTAACAAAAACCTTATTTATTTAAAAACAAAAATTTTATTTTATATAATATTTAATTAAAAAAAAAAAATATACTTTGCTTACTTATGTATTATCCAAAAGATACCGGTGTAACAGCATACAATAACGATACAAGGTATAACAAATCCTGTAATAAACAATGCAGTTTTTGAAGAACGACCCCATTTGTCAATGGTTATAGAACATGTTCCTAGCTTTGGGTCCAGTTGGAATTTTCCTATAATCACAATCTATTTAATAAAATTGTACTTAAAAATATTTTTCTTTAAGAAAATTAATCATAATGAAATTCACCCCATAATCCTAACAAGGTAGGCACTTGCATACCAAATGCTAATATTAAGCAAAACGTGATCATGAAACCAATCCAAATCGGTCGATAGATTTTACTGTACAGATTTGTATGCACTATCATAATATACCTGTAAACAAAACTAATTATACGTGTTTTCTCATAGGAGGGGATAGAAGTATAGAACCTGCATGTTGAAAATTAATATATGATAAAAATATATTTTGGGAATGTAGTACAAAAATGTTATGTATACCTAAGAATTTTTGGAATGTCGCAAGAAAAAACCCTATGACGCTACTGTTTGGAAATATTAAGCCCAGAGTATTTAATCCAGAAATTGTAAAAAAAACATTCATTAAGGAGAAAACAAATAATGTACAATCTTTAAAGACGAGTAGTAGGATAAAATGTATTACGTAAATTATTTTTTGAAATAAATGANTTACGTAAATTATTTTTTGGAATAAATAAAAATAATTTTTAGTAAAATTCTTAACTTCAATTTCGTTTGCCTTACTATTGTTAATTAAATTTATAATTACAAATAAACTAATTTTGGTAGTCGAAACAGTTATATAAATCTACACATTCATATTTTACTATCTGTCATACAGTACTATTATAACGTCAAATTGCTTTTAGATAAGAAATTTGTTTTACAATTTATTAATGATTATCCTATTATAGAGATCTAATAACTAAAACAAAACCTGTAAAACTACAATTTATAATAGTTTAAAAGTTATAAGTTCATGTTTATTGTTTTTAGCAGGTTCAATCAGATATTTAAGACTACTGTACATTTATGGTACTAATTATTGTAATCCAAATTTTTAAACTACGTCGAAACCGTAAATTTAAATTCATATGTTCTTTACAATTTATGATTTTCTGATAATTCATTATATTTCAATGGTATTAAATATCATATCAATTCAGAGTAAAATATTTGATATTTATTAAATAAAAACTAGGTTTTTTTATAAAGTTATAAGTTTTATATAACTTTTAAAATTGAACATGTTAAATTTTGTATGCCATGTTATAAAACTGTTATATTGAATAGGATTGAACAATGTTATAAAGTACATGCATATTTAATTAATTAAATTTGTCAATGAATAGATATACGATTCAAATTGTATTGAGATTAGCTATGGGTACTTTTTTATTAACAAAACATCTTCGATGGTGATAACAATGAAAGTCATTTAAATTCAATATCGACACACGTTTTCACGATATGTTTCAAAATATTAGCTATTGTTGTACGCTATTGTCGAAGATCAAGGTGCGCAGTTTGCTTTAAATTTAATGTTTGCTTAAATTAAAGATTGTTTATATCTCTGAACTAGTGAGTTACTACTGTATAGTATACTGTCTACAATTATTAATCTATAGTCAAACGTTTGCTTGTGTACATCTATGGAAAAGCTTATACCACATTGTCGTTTATTTCATTGTTATACTNATTGTCTTTTATTTCATTGTTATATTGTCATCTCAGGTCTTTCAGCGGCCGTATAATTTAATTCTCTACGTGGTTAGTCTTCCAAATGTATGATAGTATCGTCATTAACTTAAACATTGTTTCATGTACTTGCCTTACAAAGTTTGTTACTTTGTATTACACAATCATTACTCAGATAAGTCTGCTTGGTATTTACCCAATGAGAATTAAATAAATATTTATGAGATATTTNTTACCCAATGAGAATTAAATAAATATGTATGAGATATTTTCTGTTCTAACATATACATAGAATTCAATTTTTAATATATTGCATTAATCAACTATTTTGGTGATTTATCCAAGAAAAACGTAAAAGAGGTAAATTATATGCTTTGTTTTGTATCTCTTACTTAATTTAGGTACGCAAAAAAAAGTTACTTAGAATAATAGATTATAATTAACACTTAGTATTGATTGAGCTAAAATAAATAAAGAAGTTAGTTTACCTGTTAATTGTTATCATTGAAATAAATAGCAATGACACGCCGACGTTTCCGTATTGGAAAAAAGGCACCATAGAACATAATGGTGCATATTGTGTCCAATTGAAGTTCAAAAATCTCGATGCACTAAACGGTAAAACTGCAATACAAAATAACAAGTCTGCAGCCCCTAAGCTTCAAATAAACGTTTAAAATGAAATTGAATTGAGTAAAATACAAACTAATCTGTTAATTATTAAAAAGCTAAAATTAGTACCATATAATAAACGTTGATGCCACGTTTCGNCATATAATAAACGTTGATGCGACGTTTCGAATTCGAGGACTTCTAATTAAAGCTAAAATTGTTAAGCTGTTGCCAATAATCCCGACACACATAATAAGTACTGTCAATAGTGCAGCAATAAGCATAACTTTTTGATTTTTCTTTGCCCATCTATAAAAACAAAATATTTGTTTTATTTTATTAAATTTTCCAGTTCAACCAACTTACAGTTCAAATCCGAGTTCCTCATCAGAGTATAAATTTGTCATTAATGATTTTCACTTCTAAAGGTCCAGAATAAGAAAGAATTATTCTTATTTACTTGTTAATAATCTATAAAATGTTAATTTTTATTAAGATTTATGTCTAAAAATAATAAATTAAAATAAACAATAAATTTATCTTTGATTGGTGATATTTTCAATACAAATAAAATGTATTAGGGGTATATCTAATTCAACATATTCATAATTTGTTTAATTTATTTCGTATTTCATAAATAATACGTATGAATAAGTAATTTTTTTAAATTAAGAACATTACTTAGCTATAATATAAATTTCCAAAAATATATTCTTTGATAAAATAATTACCTCATTTAAACTGTATATATATATAATATATAGTCAAATTTATTAGCTTAGGCCAAGTCTATTAAATTCTATACACTAAATTAAAATATCTATGTAACAGTAGCTGTTGGTCAAACGCAATCAAAATCAAAAATGCTCTTCACACTCGTTAGATAGAACTACAACTGTGACTTGACAGTCTTTATCATGCGGGCATGGTTCAAATGTTTAGAGAGGATGAAATTAATAATAAATAATTGTTGATAAAAATCGGAAAATAATCTTCTTAATTGAATAATTCTTTCGTGGAGATAAACTATGTACATTGTGTACATTATTATAATAATACATATTATAATATACATTTTATATGTATATTGTATACATATAAAAGCATTATATATATATAATACTATCATTTTCACTGAAATTTTTTTAACTTGTAACCTAAATATCAACGCATTATACATCTGAATTAGTAAGTATATTTGAAAATGTTCCTTTTTTTGTTATTCTATAAATTATTAGTCTAAGGGTGTACGACAATGAAAAGTAATAAAATCTCATTAACTTTTTTTTCCTGAATATTTTACATTTTTAAATTGATTTTGTCTTTAGTGAAATTACTTTCACATATATAAGTCTTATTTAAAAAAATTTTAAAAATTTCAAAAGGTATAATAATATATAGATAAATCGAGTTCCATAGTGGTTTACAATACCAGTGGTTTAAGAAAATAACTTAAATATGAGCTTTCTAAGCGCCTAGTGTAAAAGAAATAGTAAAATTATGCAGATATAGATCCCACTATTACAAGATGAAGTTATCAAATTTTTATTTAATCCGTCAATAAATAATAATACTTTTAGTTCCATTTCTATCATATGTATATTATAATTTATAATAGTTGATATTTGATGAGGTGACAACTTTTGATATTTATTAAAATGGAGATATACATAAATTAATGAGATTACAAGTTTTGTGTAATGTTTTAAAAAAATTGACATTGTTAAATAAGATAAAGCTTATAGTTATTGGACAACTTATTTAAATTAAATTATATCTTATAAATTTCACTATTTCCTTACATTTTAGTATTAATAGATGCAAACCTTTTATATTAATATATGTTGTTTGATCAGCTAGTACGATTAACTTATAAAACAGATTATTTATATTTTGTTTGCTAGTATAAAGTATATATGAGATAATAATTTGTATTTCTGGAATTTTTTAGATTTTCTTATTTGTTTAAATTATAAAATATTTTTGTTATCTTATTATATATATCTTTATTTCAATATAAATAATGATAACTAATCAATTATGGTCAATATTATTACAATTAAAAATGTAAAATTCAATATTAAACGTTTTAATGTTTTTTTAAATATATTTAGAAACTCAATTAATTGTACGATTAAAAAAAACGATTTTTTTTTTAAAAGAAAAACTACATATTTAATTTTTAATGCACTCTTGAAAAAAATAGTCTGAATTCTTATATATTTGTACTGGAAATTTTTAATGCATACAATGTAAGGGAAAGTTTTGATAAATGTTGATAAAAATTTTATATTTATGTGCAAATTTTCCATTTTAAATGTCAAAATTACACTACTTGTGTTTATATTAAAAATATCATACTGACATAAGAGTATTTTCGAATCATTTCCTATAGTGTGTGTAAACGTTTTATGGTTTAATGCGAAGCGACGTGCATTTTTAAATGTGTCCAACTATAACTATTTGTAATTGTAAACAATTAAAAATGTTTTCTTAAAAATTATTACATGAACAATTTTTAGCTAATATTGTTAAACATTATAATATTAATATTTTAATATAAATTATTTTTATAAAATAAATCATACAAGTCTGTATTTAAGCTACTCGTAGGCGTAGGTACTAATTAAACAATTTTTTGTGTGTTATTTCTTTTTTAGCCTCCCTGAAATTTAGGTTTCGATACATTTTTATACTTAAAATTTACTTAAAGGATGTGGATGAACTCAAAAAAATAAGGATCTTCAAAACAAATTTGTATACCCTAGGTATAATGTTTATAGTGTCTAATAATTAATATGACTGCATCAATGTTATTGCTGTTAATTAATGTACTCTGTAATTAATTTTACAGCATTTTTGTAAAAATGAATTTCATTGAGATATAATTAAGTATCATAATTTTATTCTTAATGACCTAAAAATGTATCTTGTTTCATAATAACTAAAACCTTAAAAATAGGATGTTTCGTTAATTTGCTGCCAGTCCCTTTTATACACATGGCGAGTAGTGTGTGGTTGATGTAGCTAAACTATGTGGGAAAAGCTCCATATTAAGGATCACTCATCAAACTATACAAATACATATATCTATACATTGCACTGTATATAAACTAATTTAGTCTGGTTCATTTACAGTGTAAGGGCAACAAACATTAAACGTATTCATGTACTTTGTGGAGTATCTACAATATGAATTTTATATTCACTCTATATTAATGATGAAATACATTTTTACAATTTTCTAGTCTTCAATTAGTTATTATTAAATACCCGAAAGAAATTTATAAAATAAATTATATTTCTTTCATTTTTTTATATAGTATAACTAACATCCTCATAACTTTTAGAATGGAGTGAAAGCTAACGGGTATGTTAGAAGTCCAGTTTTAGACTATAAGATAGTATACCACGATAAATATTAAAATATTACAATAAATATAAACATTGCTTATAATTTAATTAATACTTTTATTAGTCAATTATCCTTCAAATTCAGAGTAGTTATTGATTAATATTATACCACACATATAAAAGCTTGTGATTTAAATTTTTAATAGTGTAATAAAATATTTAAATGGTCTAGTTAAATATACTAAATTATTATAATTTTTAAGTAATTTATAAGGTACGAAAGAAGTTGGGTTTACTATATCATGATATATTAGTTTCACCCAATTATACCTCATTGACCTTTTGATTAAGAGAGTGTCCAAGTACTTATTTTTGCACATTAAACCATTTCACAGATTCTAAACGACGAGTTGGATGTAGAGAGATGATCGATCCATTAATTAAAGCAGATAACATTATCTACATTTATACATAAGCAAATAAAACCTTTATTTTCAAATGTTAAATTTGACATAGCGATTATCTAATTATAATCAACTGTTCTCCAGAATCTGCGATCTACAGATACACGTTTTTTTTTTCAATTATTTATGTTTTATTGTCGCACAACTTATCGGAGCTATTTAAAATTCAATTACTAAATTACAACTATAAAAAAAAAATTTTTTAACCCAATGTTTTTGAATTTTGAATTTTTAAATACTTGGACATCCTCTTAAAAAAAAAAAAAAAAAAAATACACAATAACATAAATATATATATATATAATAGTCACTACCAATAGTGACCTAAAAAGTTCAGATTATTTTTCTGATGTACTAACTTATTGAACTAAAAGTTTTTATGCTTAACATAAAGTAATTGTATATTGTTAGAAAAATAACTGTTATTTTATACCATCTAATCTAAAATTGAGTATTTTCTGTATATTTTTACAATTTTCTACTGTTTTTGTTGTTATGGTTTTTATTAGCTATAAACAACAGTTTAAAAAGAAAAACATATTGATCCATCTGTATCCTTATCTATAAATCGTATGTAGTATACGTCATATGTTAAGATCATAATTATTATTATTATTTCAAAATACATACTATATAAATTATTTAATTTATTATTATTATCTGGGCATTAAAATTATATGGGACTGGGCAAATTCACCAGTTAGTAAATTTTTTATAAAACCTAATTTGGATTGAATGTTAGGAATGTTAACATTATTAAACATTTTTATTGTATTTTTTACATCACTGATATATATTAACATTAGCGTATTGATTGGAATATTTGACCATAAAAAACTTCTGTTGCAAATCATTCGACATTTTAAAATTATTTGAACTTACCTAAATAATTTATTCAAATAAGTCCATGTTAGTAACAACATTTAAGTTTATATTTGAAATATATATATATTTGAATGGTTAAAACACCATTAAACGAAATTGAAGATTTATTATTGTTATTATTCATAAAAATGTCTACTTTTGTTAAAACTACAATTACATTCACTCGAATAAAATATGATCGGTAGAAATGCTGTTAACTGATGTGATGTAAGGCTGTCATTTGTTAAATGCATTGAACACGACAGGCTTCTCCCCACCTAATTATTAACTTTTGCGAAGCTGTTTGACAACAACACGTTTATTAGATAAGTTAAATATTCCGAAAATAAAACAACCAGTTTAAATACATAACTTAAAACGGTTTCATTCAATTTTAAGAAATAATAATCTGAATTGTAATTAATTAATTAATTTTTTTCGACTGTTTAAATATTTAAAATTTCTAGTGGATATACGGTATTTGTTATTTTAATATTTAAATAAAATAATCTTCTCATAGAATCTATTAAATTTAAAAAAAACCAATTAGAAACTAATAAGTTTTTAGACGTTCAGTTTCAATTATAAATCAATTTATGAAAATATGATTGTTATATAATTATTAATTTAAAATATCATTAGATTTTATGATATAAATGTTTATTTAGAAACGGTTTAATAATTATCCAGTTAAAAATAATATTTGTAAAATAAAAAAAATATCTATTGTTATTAAGATATCTTTTATGAATAAAATAAAAAAAATAGATTTATTAGTTTTTAATAAACTAAAAAAAAGATACTTGTAATAGTATTTTAAATATTCCATTACAATTCTAGATGAACATTTTCGAGACCAAAAAAATTTAAATACTTCTATGTTAATATTAAATATTACTTTGTTTTTTTGCTACGAATGATAAAACTATTTCATTGTTAGCTGTAATCACGTTATTCGACAACGGACGAGGAGTCTTATAATAGAGACCCTGTGACTTTTTAAAGTCGCCCACATCCCTGTTATGGAGGAATGAAATCGTCACTGATCTACGTTCTGAAAATTGCCAGGAAAATTCTCTCTAACCCATAATAAATTCTTAAATACTATCTATGATGGCCATTGGAAATTATATTCCAGTCGACACTTAATTATTTCTATTTAAATTTTTTTCTTATAAACGTTAATTAAATGTTTCTAACGAATTTCTATCAATAGAATTTTTAAATTATTTTTCTCTACTTAAATAAAAAATCGAAAATATTTTCATTTGGCATTGTCAAATCGCGATATACAAAATTAAGAAATTGATTTATATTTTTATTAATATTGTTAAATATTTTATAAGTTAAAAATATTTCTTGTTGAGTACATAATATTAATTTTAAATGCTCTTTGGTGCACTGATTGGAAATTAGAAACCATAGAAAAACCCATGGTTATTTAAAATTTGTCAATATTTTTAAGAAACTTTCATCGAAATAAAATAATTTTAAACTCTTAGAAAAAAATGTAATTTTATAATGAAAAATTAGATTTTAAAACTGATCTAAAATTATAAATTTAAAATCTATTTTCATGTTAATATAAAATATCTTTAGATTGCTAAGATATAAATATAGTTAAGTGAAAGTAAGTGATAACACAATTTGTAAACGTGATAATTTGATTTATATAGGTGTCAAATGCAAACATTTTCTGTTTACACACAACAATGGGATAGCCAATTGATTTTTAGTATGAATTTTGAATATAAACCATTGAAAGTTTATATTTCTATTGCTTTAGAGGCGTTTTAAATTTATATCTCATAAGTTTTGTAAATGTATTACGAAGAAAAAAAATTAATGATTCTTAAAATAGTTATAAGCTAATTAATTTTTATATACCCGAATAGCGATTTTAAAAATGTGTATAATCTCAGGAACAGAATGAATAATGTAAAAATTCATCAAGTTGAATGGAAATTTATATTTTTTAAAGCCATAAAGTGTCATTTTATACATTTTTTTGGCATTTCTTGCTTTAAGTTTCCGAATTTTAGAAGTTATTAATAATGTAGCGCATACTCATTTGTTATGCGGAGGAAAAGCAAGGGGTCCTTACCCTTTTTTTACAACGACAGTCACTAGAGCGACTTCAAGACCACATGGTAGTCACGCTGCAGCTGCCGAAGTGTAAAGTCATCCGTTGAATTCGGTACATTTTTTTCCATCTCGGCAATTTGTCGGTTATCGTATGTTTTTGTTGTTACCAAAAAAATTATAATACATTTATTTATGAACAAAATTACAAATAGACCTTGATCGTGAATGCATTTTTGTATAATTGTAAAATAGTTTATTACCTAAAAAAAAAAAATAAATATTTGTTAAAATCAAAAAATTATGCACATAAAGTAACTCTATTGAATGGACTATAAGACAACAAAGTCGTAAGTTCATATATTTATTTGTACCAATAAATTATTGAGTTCTTATCAATAGTACTTATTAAAAAATGTGCCTACTATTCTGCTTTAATGATACTTATAAAATCATTATAATTGTATGTATTAAACGTGAATACCTGACTCAAGTAATACTAACAGTCAAACAAATAAAATAAAATAATTTAAAAAAATTATTAAACATTTATTAAATATTAATATATTTTTTTAAACTAGTGTTTTAAAAAATAGGTCATATCAATTTTTTTTGAAATATTTTTACTAGTTCAACTTCTGGATATTTAATTTGAAACTGGGATTGAAAAATCATATCTTTAACAATTTTTTTTGAAAAATCTTGATATAAAATATCCAAAAACATTTTTAGGGTTATAATTTAAACTAAACTAAAATAAAATAATCTAAATTTTCTGTATTAGTATGAGTTTTAATATTTTCTTTCAAACCCGGAAGTATGTCAAATATTTTGTACAATTTTGTGTCCTAATCTAGTGTATACATCCATAATATAAAATTCTTCTCAAAGAAGTTCTACATACCGTTTAAATAATGTATAATTTCATTTTTTAAAACAGCTCTAAGTTTATGAAAAATTGTACTATCATTTGTAAGCTTGCACAAAATTTAGGTATTCTCTATTTCTTCCAAATATAATTTTACTGATATGTCATTTATGTAAAAAATATTAAATGGTTGTATTAATTGTCCAGAAATACTTAAGGGCATTGGTTCGTTAGTTCCTTCGTACAACCATATAGTTTTAACGACCTAAAAGTTGCTTCGTACTCGTAATATTCGTAAAAATGTTAGATTTAATTTTAATTAATTTATCTCAGTAAAAAAATGTTTTTTTTCAACTTACCTGAAATAATATTTAATAAGAGTTGTGCGAAATTTAGTACTGCTCTATCAAGTTAATCCAATTTTTCTGAACTTTAAAATTAAGTTTAAATGTCATTTTAAAAAAAGTTGAATTTTCAACTTTTTTTTGGCTTAATTTATGTCTAACATATTTTTATAATGTTACATATTTTTAACGACAAATACTCTTGAGATAATTTCAAGGAAGTTAAAAATAAATTATTTTTTATTTCTTGACGCTTTTATTTTTATAATTATCTCTTGTTTACTCATTAATAATTATCTCAAAAAACTATATTTGAAGAAAATTTTGAAGCCAGATTCCAAATCTAATTCACCAATTCACTAATCACTAATTCCAAATTAGTGTTTAAATTTTTACAGAATCCACATAAAAATTGTAAACAAGAAAATGACTCTTGTCCTGTGTTATTTTGTATTATTTTATTATTTTCAGTTTATTGTATTAATTTAGTTGTTTGTATCAGTTAATATTTTTTTATGTCTATCTCATAATTAATTTTCTGTACACTCTATTGTCTCTTTGGTGCTAAATAAGAAATATAAAATAAGCTTAATTAGTCAAAAATATATAGAAAAATGAGTATTTTTTAAAAAAACATTTGTTTATTTTAAAAATTTACACCGATATATATATATATATATATATGTATATATTTTTTTTAATTTAATATTAATAACTTAATTGATTGCTAATTTAATTAAAACTATAATTTTTGTAGTTATCAAACGATTTACAGTACACTTTTCTTCTATTAATATTTTACAGATAAATGTAGACACGAACAAAGTACTTATGTTAACATATACTCGAAAGATCATATTAATTCAATCTAATGTTAGTTGTTAGTTTTCAAGTATAATTCATCTTAAAAACATTCCATCTAAGGTTTCCTTTAACTTCAGAAAATATATTATAAACATTACCTAGTACAACGTGTTTAAATTAACTGTTACTAATAATGGAAATTATAAATTTAACTTGGGTTTTAAGTATGTTCCATAAACTTAAAGTGATATCTTTTTGTCTTTATGTCAGTAAATAAACAAAATGATAAAAACCTACGATTTATCTTTCAAATGGTTGTTATATTTAATAAATCGTTAATTAACAATAGCAGGCCTGTCACTTGTAATAATAAGCGTACTTTAGACAGTAATTTTATGCCGCCCCATTCTGAATTGAGCTATAGACAGTGTCAAATAATTTTCTAAAAAATTTTAACGCCCTCAATTGTCTTAATTTCATACTGAATTCTATTCGATTTAATTGAATTTCCAAAATAACCAAAGGACTCGTGTACGTTATTTTAAATCAATTCTAAACTAACATTAGCTTAAAGTTATTAATAAAGTAATTATTTTAAATAAAAAAATTTTAATTGTGTACAAAAAATTCCTTTTTATCTTATTTATGTATGCAGGTGTTCAGTAATTAAGGAATCAGATTTCTATTGTTCTCATTGTTTGTAACAATTGACGTGTTTCCTTACTCACTGAACATACTATACATTTTAAATGTAGACTATTATATAGTATAATTTTTGACTCATTATTTGACATTAATTCAGAATGATTTTTCAGTTTAAGCATGAAGTGTAGCTACAATACTGTTAGAATTTCGATGTTCTATAAATGAAACTTATAATAGACAAGAGTTTGAAAATGCATTGGTTTAGAATGAGTTCCAGTATTTCTGAAGACATCAACAATAGTTGGCATGAGATCACTCACCGAGAAAATATTTCGATAACCGGCGAAGTTTCAAAGGAAATGGATTTAGATGTAGAATTGTTTCGAGGTTATTCACCAGTTCTTCTAACTTTTGCAAGTATCTGTTGTGTTGTCTACATGCTGGTAGGCGTGCCCGGCAACTTAATCACAATCATAGCCCTCTTTCGATGTAAAAAGGTAGGTTATAAGTATAAATTTAACAATTTTTTAAAAATCAATTATTCATAAAATTTTAAGTATTTATAACAATAGTTGAAGTGAAAATAACAACAATAAATATAAATACCAAATAATTTAAAAGTTGTTTAGTTAACAAAATTTTGTCAATCCTCCAATAGTTAGAATGGTTTTGATATAGTTAATATTTTTAATATTTCATGTACCGGGTTAGATTCAAAAAACAAATTTAAGGTCTTTTTGTAAACCTAATCATAGTGTTAATAAAATACTAAAAAGATGATTATTATTTTCTAGTAAAAAAATCTCCAATAAAATTTTTGCTGGAGCATTTTTAAATTTAAAATTATTATTAATTTGAACAGAAAAAATTTAACCGAAATGTGTATTAAGTAATACAGATATCCTCAAAAGAATAATTAATAATTAAATGGTGTTCGTCAGAAACTCAAATTCATTTTCCCTTTATAATAAAATATATCTTGTTATTATCTTAGTATAACTATAAGTTATACTTACATTCTTATACATTTCTTGCACTTATTTACTGTTAAAATGTATACGGTAATTAGTTGACATTGTTTTCAAATAATGTTTTACTCAACAACCAAAGATTGTTCATAAAAGTTTATTATTGACGCGTTCTACTTACCACTATTTGAGATATCGAGCTATTTATATAGAACGCCAAACTTGTAAGTTTTATTAGTGTTCTAACATAGACGATAAAAAAAATACATGTCCTCGTTTTCTGCATTCATCACATATTGGTATAATATTTAAATTTAGTAAAACGTTTTATGCAAATGCATATATCGAAAGAACTTAACAGACATATATTATTATCTATCATTACATATTTAACATAATAATATTATATTTAAAAAAAGTCAACACCATTGATAGTATATTATACTGTCAATGGTTTTGACTTTTTTCTACACGAGGATTCCAAATAAAAACCGTTTATTGCTGAGCTGTGTCGATGCATTTTGGATACAGACCAGTATAAATAGTATGTATATTTGTATATCACTTTAAGTAACAGCCCATAAAATTCATTAGTTATTGTTCTATATCCGGAAGAAAATAATCAAAAAGACTGTTATTGACATTTTACCACTTTTCACTATATTAAAATGCATAACTAGTGCTAATATTTTTAATTATTTAGATGTTTGTAGTAAAAAATAATATATATTTCAATTATAGATAGATAAATAAATATTAAAAGTATATTTCAGTGTAACCCCATTCTCTTTAAAATATACTAAATAAGTTAGTTAATGAAATAAATATTCTGATTGATAAATTTTAGTTTTTCGTTTATTTTTTCGTCAAATCAGTTGATCAGTTTTTTTATATGAAAACTAAAAATTATTTTATTTAAGTAAACTATTTTCTTGATTTTGTTTTTCAATTTATGTTGTCACTACAAACAATGTGGTTTATTGAAATAAGTATTTTTTTTTTTTTTTTTGAAAAAGAAGCATAAAGCAAAATGAGTTAAAGAAAACTATTAAAGTTTAATAAATTATTGTACTTTTCAAAGGACAAAGGTACGTGTCAACTGCCACTTCACCGCTTTGTTTTAGATGATACGGAATAATGATGATAACAAAAGTAGCGAACATTTTCAGTAGCAGTTTTTTACTAAAGAAAAAAAATAAATACATTTACTCTAATAATGGAAATGGACTATGGTCTATTTTATATTGAGCATCAAGTACACAACCGCTGTCGTTATTTAACTTATCCTTTCGTTTTTCTGTGTAATAATATTACACAGTTTACAAAGTAGTTACATGTTTACTAAAAAAATCTTATTTAGTAATAAAACAAGGAAAAACACTTTTCTGGGAAAACTATTTAGCGTTCTCCGATTTTCAAACATTTTTTTTCAACGAAAGTATTCGGTGAAGAGACTCCGTGAAAATGATTGGCAATGGTCGAAAAATTTCTGTCAGCGTTTTAAAATTTCGACCGTTTTAAAGATAACTGCTTNATATATATATATATATATATATATATATATGTGTGTTTTAGTCAGTGGCCTACTTATGAGGACTATCCAAAGAGCCTTTCGGCGCGTGAGACTCGTAGGATTCCGGGTCTGAGGTGGAGCCTAGTTGTTAATAATGGAATATTAATTTCGTGATGTTTTACTTAAACGACAAGAATATCAGAATTATCTTTAAAATAAAAAGAACTAAATAAAATCACATTTATGTATATAGGCGTTCATTAACTTATTAAATGTTTTATAAGTTAGCATTGAAAAATCCACAACCATTATGAATAATATAATTAAAAATAAATTAAAAAAAAAAACATCTATTTGTCATAAAAATGCTCTTCTATTCTTTTAAAAAGGCATGGGTCAATTAACAGTTTAAATAATCAAAGAAGGCGTTTAATACTATTTTTGTTTAAGTCTATTTGGTTACATTTTTTAAACAAGTGTAATATGATTTACAGCTTTCATTTATTTATTTTTTTAGAAAATTGAGTTCACATGTTACTTTTTTCTTTATACTTTTTATGGTGTGTCGTTAAAAATAATAGATTTCTCTACTACATTTCTGCACTTAGTATGGCATTGACGGGTATAATATTGTTTTATATTTGATAAAGATATACATGTATATCAGTAAGTTTTTGCAGAAACATATTTTTTTAAAAAATACTCAAATAAAAATAACATCCATTTCTTTGCAGATGGTAATTGCTCGCGTCATCTTTATAATTATACAATGCCATTTTGTAGTTATTTTCCATGATCGATTCTTGGGGTAATAGTGAATGAGTTGCATTACTAAGTAATTATTATTATATAAGCTTTGTCACCCCTTGCCAGGACTGTCATTGTTATTATTGTATTTCAACGAACCGCGACAGACGACCATACCGAAGGAAAACTTTTATAAGATTCAAAACTACAGTTGATTAATTGCGGTTGTAGGGTATACCGTACTGACTGCTCGGACTTGGCGGCGACTATTCCGAGTCTCCAAAGAAACGCTCTTACATATCAACACACAAAGTCGTATTCATCTTTATACACGATTTTACCATTAAATGCATTACCCGGTAGTTGTGTCCGATTTTTATATGATTTTATTGCGCGCTGGAGAGTGTGTTTCCGCTTGCTGGTCGACGCCAAATTTCATCGAAAATGTTTTTAACGGTTGTATGGACAAACAACTCTGACAACGGCATATCTCAGTAAGTATGGGTGTGTTTTTTTGTTGTATCTAAAAACCATCGACACGTAATTGATTAGCTGCGAGTTAAATCATTTACAAGTGTTAGGATATTCTTTGACCAAATTTCAATCAATAATAGACTCGTGTCACTAATCACATTTACCTACTGGAGAGATGTGACTTGATACAATATAAGCAGCTCTATCGATGTAGATATACGAGAAGTCGACTTAGAGCTGATGAGATAAGATGGTTCTGGTTGACGATGATTTATGACTTAGCTAACTAGGGTTACAACCGCTAACGACCTACTGTAGAGTTGCTCATAGTAGATTCCTCAAATGTTGAAAATAGCGAGTGAAAAAATTGTGTAATTCTAAACTTGATAATAATAGCTAACGATTTATAACCACTAACACACAGTCATGACTTAAACTATCTAGTCGTAGTATGTTTTGCTTACTTGATATTAAGTTCAACTATATCTAATAAGCGATATGATTCAATTTCATTTAGTAATACTACAGCTAAGACTTTTTGATTAAGGATATTATAAAAAATATCCGACGATTTATAGTGTTTAATAAAAAATTAGTTTTTACTACCCAAATACGCTCGGGTAAAAATATATGCTGATGTGAACTTTTTTAAGAACTAAAAAGTTTTAGAAATATTTTACAAAAGTTTCAAAATAAAAAATAAATTTATAATGTTAAGATTTTTGCATTTAGAAAGTACAAGACAAAAGAGTTCAATGCTCACATTAAGTCCTATGGGAATTAGTGACACCACACACAATGTAAAAAGTTGTAAGTTTGTACTCTATGGTTGAAATATAAAAAAATGAGTTATTTTGAAAATGTTCTAACAGTTATTCCCGCTCTACTTATTAAAAGATCAGTGAAGTACGCCTATGTATACCTAATGCTTTTTGTAGCGTAGTCACATACATAAATATCTTCAGTTATTAACTGTATAAGAATAATTTTGATGCCTTTATCCGTAAACAAATTTCTAATTTTGTATTATTTATACTGAGGTGTTCTGACGATAAAAAATTAGTTATTTATAAAAATGTTAATAATAATATCGTCAAAGAAAAATTGAATTAAAGTTTTGTGATATATTAAAAATTAAACGATATAAGGGGTTTAATAAAATTGGCTCATTCAGTTGTTTTTTTTTTTTGGGAGTCATTCCAAACAGTAGTTATATTATTGGCTAAAGTTTTTGTTCTACATATTTTGTTTTGGAACAAGTATTATTATACATATTTGTTTTGTAATTTAAATACAGATCCTGATATGTATGTAAATGATGTGTCAATCATTTACTTGTCTAAACTTATTAAATTTGTTTATTAGGTGACATATCTGTGAACATTTTGATATTAACTTGAAAATAAAATTATTGTAGTTTGAGTATTTTCTGAAATACTTCTGTTTGTAACTTTGTATAAAAAGCGACAACAAACATAGAATCAAATTACACGATGAACGACCTTTGCGAAGATGTTTGTTAACTGCCTCGTATAGAGTTACACTTTTAAACATACTCATATTTTGAGTAAAAGGCTCTGAATTCGTTGAACAAATACGTATGGAAAATACTTTTAAATTATTGTTTAAACAGGTTCACATATAGCGATAAACTTAAACTTAGTTTAGATTTTTTAACCTGAAGTACAGATAAATAATGTCAATCAATGGTTTTCAACCATCAAAAGTATCTGAGGATTAAACAAGTTTTTTAAATTTATTTTTTGTAAAAATGTTAGTGTTCAATAATGTTTCA